AAGTAAGAGTTTTTTTTTTCTTCCCAATTTGCCAAAAATCCTTACGTGATAGAAAAAAAAATGACTATTATTTTCGAAATCTGCGTAGCCGAATTATGGAAAATCAGTTATTAAAACCAAAATAACTTTTATTAACTTTAACTTCGTAGGCCTTGTTATCAAACTGAGTTCTTACCTTGTGTAACTTTCTCTTTATCAGTCACAGTAAACCCGTTACGAATATAAAACTGAGTTCATATCTAGTGTAACTATCTCTTTGATAGATACTGTAAAACAGTAACGAATATCAAACTGAGTTCTTACCTTGTCTAACTTTCTCTTTATCAGTCACAGTAAACCCGTTATGAATATAAAACTGAGTTCATATCTAGTGTAACTATCTCTTTGATAGATACTGTAAAACAGTAACGAATATCAAACTGAGTTCTTACCTTGTGTAACTCTCTCTTTGTCAGATACTATAAAACAGTAACGAATATCAAACTGAGTTCTTACGTTGTGTAACTCTCTCTTTGATAGATACTGTAAAACAGTAACGAATATCAAACTGAGTTCTTACGCTGTGTAACTCTCTCTTTGTCAGATACTGTAAAACAGTAACGAATATCAAACTGAGTTCTTACGTTGTGTAACTCTCTCTTTGTCAGATACTGTAAAACAGTAACGAATATCAAACTGAGTTCATATCTAGTGTAACTATCTCTTTGATAGATACTGTAAAACAGTAACGAATATCAAACTGAGTTCTTACGTTGTGTAACTTTCTCTTTACCAGATACTGTATAACCGTAAATCATACTAAATATCAAACGTAGTTCTTATCCAGTGTAACTCTTTATCAACACTGTAAAACTGTAGCGAATATCAAACTGAGTTCTTAACTAGTGTAACTCTTACATTATCACATAATAAGCCATGGGATCAAACAGATCTTTGACCCGATTGGTTCTACACGGAAAGTTTAAAATGTTTTTAGTTTCCTATGAAATCACGTAATACGTGTAGTAGTACGACTGACTAATATTATCACATATATGTGTAGTTACTACTCTCAGGCTTTGCCCATGTTCACTCTGTTAGGAAGTAACACTTTCAAAAGTAGACTAAAATCAATAATTGATAAAACTTTTATGTGATACTAAGAAAACATAGCACCAGTAACCCTAATCTATGTTGTAAACATAGCACCAGTAACCTTTAATTTTGTTGTTTTACAAGATCAAAGAAAGTGGAGTGAATATTTGAGCGGACAAAATTATTGAGTTTAAAATAAATACTTCCAAAGTTTTAAAAAATCGCTACGCTTTATAGAATAAA